TATGCAATTTCTTTGAGGGTGGTAGTGAGGTAGAATGGACTTCCAAGGATTCTATTGGAAGACCTAAAGGTCTTCTAATTATATGAAAATTAAGTATTTGTCATCTCTCTTTTAGCTTTAGAGGAGAGGGGTCATAGGGATCAGTGTGATTTAGAATGATATTTTATCTTTTTAATGACTATTCTTTGTGAGCCATTGCTAATAAGAGAAGACTGTGGAATTAATTGTGTGATTTTAAAATCAAACTTCTTATGGGTGATTGATATGCAGTTGGGGATATCAATGGCATTAAGAAGGAGGGGAAAGGAAATGAGCGAATTATGTTGTCAATATATCAGAATTGTTAGACTTCAGTGAGTTTTTGGAGGCCATGAGGTTGATTGATGCACCTGTTATCGGGGGTAAGTAATATTGGTTCAAGTCGAATGGCTCAACCATGAGTAGGGATAACAATTTGACTCATTTTTATAGGGCACTCGTCGAAATTATCCACAATAAATAGGGTAAAAATCTGCAAAATGAATAAGAGTATGGACACAAACAATTACCCACTAAAATACGCGGGCATGAGCGCAGAAATGGATATCTTAATAATTTTTTTTTTATTATTATAAGCACACGTGTTGTGAAGACAAGTTTCCAACAAGTTTTGATGAAGATAATGTTTTAAAGCTCAAATTTAATTATCAAAGAAAAAGAAAAAAATTGCTTATGATCAACATTTATGGTATATGAAATTTTATCATAGAAATCTTAAAGTCCTCAATATATTTGATCATGCATTTGAAAAAATTCATTTTATACTTTGTTAAAATAATTTTCAAATAATTTTACTAGCCTTGCTTGAAAAAAAATTTCGATGCATTCATGAAGTTTTGGACTTACACTACTACAAAATAGATCTTTCGTAACACCAATTTTACAACGAACATAGTGTTAGTCATGGTAATAGTATTTTTGGACACATTTTTTTTTGTATTTACTAGAGGACATATCACGACGGTCAAATGAAGCAATCGTAGAGAAAAGGTACACAGAGTGAAATGGTTCGAATTCCAACATCAACAATTAGCCATCTATCGTGATAAAAATGTTATTGACCTTGTATATCACCACAATTTTTATTATCAACCGTGACGAAATGTGACACTTTATTTATATATAAGTGGAAGTATCTATCGCTTCAGTACATACCAACCGTCTCTCTCAAAACAAAACCCTAACAACTCTTTCACTTGTCTCTCTCAAAACGAAACCATAACATCTCTATCACTCGTCTATCTCATACGAAAATCTCAAAACAAAACCATAAAACAAATCTTAACCAATGAGTATTTACAGGTTCATTTTCTCTATAGTTTTTTTTTTCAAAATCTGTTTCAATAGCTTGTTTCATGATGTTTGAATTTTCTTCTCATTTTGACTTGTAGGTATGGACGTTTCTTTCAATAAAGAGGACGAAGCTAAATTTAGCCTTGCAAACTTGTGTCAAAGATCAAGATTGACATTCATTCAAAATATACACAAGTTTGTGGGTCTAAATTTATATTCATCCTTATTTTATTGTTGACACGCCATTATGGGACATGTATGGTATGTTTCTGAAGTATTTTATGACTTGATATATTTGTTGTATCGTGTTTGTTGTTTATGGTTTATTATTGATGAATGTTTTTGTTAATGTTTGTTTAAAAGATGAGTTTATTATATATTATGTGGTTTGAGTGTTTTTCCAATCCCTTACCAAATATATAACTTTCTAAACTGTATTAGAAAATTATGATATGATAGATAAAATTGTATTAGAAAATAAGTACATGTTTAATTTTTGACAAGATTTTTTCACACTATTAACTGCATGTTGTTCGTTGATAGTTAGAACTTGGTTTAATGATTGTAGATCTTCAACCACCTATCTCTCTACCTATAATTTTTTTTGCAAAAAGAATTAGAGGTGAAGGCAGAGGTAGTTGAAGAACTAGGATCATTAAACCAAGTTCTTAACAAAATACGAATAAGAAGTTGAAGAACTCTTGTCTAGCATTGAACGTGAACTTATTCTTCTAATATAACTGAATTTGTCATATTATAATGTTCTAGTGCAGATTGGAAGCTTATGTGTTTAGTGAGCATTGGCAAAATAAGCATTCCACATAATTTATAATAAACTCAGATCTATATACCACAACGGTTGTAACACAACCATTGTTAAATATGTTGCATTAAAGAATATCACAACAGTTGTTTAAAGTAACCGTTGTAGTAGGTAACACGCTACATGGATACAATCACGGTGGCACTTCCATGGTGGAAATCATCATACATTCAATAATACCTTATCTCACAACGGTTGGACCAACGTGGTGGTATCTCTCTGTCAGCCATTGTGATATGTGTTTTCCGTCGTAATGTTCGAAAGTTTTTCAAAAAGATTCAGCATGCAATCAATCTAAGTCTTATTGCAATCGATTGAATGAAATTTGAAAACAGAATTTTGAATCTTGCAATTGATTGCAACAATGTAAATTTCCAAGGTTTTAGTCATTGCAATAGATTGAAGGGTTTGCGCAATTAATTTGTACATGTTTTGAAAAATGATGAATCGTGCTCACTACTTCATTCACTCATTTTCATGGCATCTCTTAATTATAATTTCATTATTTCAGAAATTTTATCCAATCATTGCCATGTTTTATCAAGAGTTGTTCATAACTTATAAATATGATTCAAATTTCATTTTACCGGTTACCTCATTCAATCATATTATTAAAAAAATCTCTACATATATTTTCAATTCACTTGTTCCAGACTTAGATGTTTTTTTTGAAAACTTTCATATCATTCTAAAAGCAACATTGAGCACTTAGAGAGTTTATGATATTGAACTTTCATATTTGGAAGAGAAG